CCTATCTTATGTAGAGAGCTATATCTTCGTCGGTAAGTTAGTGCCCCTAATATTACAGGCAACATGTTACCACTGACTGTTAATACCATTCCTATCTTATGTAGAGAGCTATATCTTCGTCGGTAAGTTAGTGCCCCTAATATTACAGGCAACATGTTACCACTGACTGTTAATACCATTCCTATCTTATGTAGAGAGCTATATCTTCGTCGGTAAGTTAGTGCCCCTAATATTACAGGCAACATGTTACCACTGACTGTTAATACCATTCCTATCTTATGTAGAGAGCTATATCTTCGTCGGTAAGTTAGTGCCCCTAATATTACAGGCAACGTGTTACCACTGACTGTTAATACCATTCCTATCTTATGCACATTTACATTTTATTTAAGTAATGATTCTGCGACGGCAGGAGAAGAATTCAGTGACTTAGTGGTTAAGATCGGAATATCAGTAAAATATTTCTCAGAAACCATTGCAACGTCCTGATCTGATTTAGTTAATTTATTGTTGAAACTTAACTGGTAGTTTGAATTGCGAGAGTTGGCCTTACCAGTTTCACTATTAATTATACTCCATGTCATTTTAATTTTATTAGAAGCAGTCTTTATTTTGTTGCTCAAATACAATGACTTGGTTAAGGAGCACACTCTTTTAAATATTTTGGAATATTTTTTTACATATTCCCTAAATTTGACGCTAGGATTATATGACCTTTCATTGTAAAGTTCATATAACCTTTGTCTACTCTTATGGACTCCTACTGTCACCCATTCATTAAATGCTTTGCGATTGTTCAAGGAGAATGTTTTAGAAGTAAAAGTATTATTAAATTCATTGCAAATAAGCTTAAATAATGTTCCACACAAAACATTTGGATTATTTTGGTATGAAAGTAATGGAAGTTTCTTTACTATGTTACTTCTAAACTTCTCCAAGCGATGTGTATTTACTGGAACAAACACTACTTTTTTATCTATTTGCTTTTTGTGAACATAAGGTAATGAAACTAATTGTCCACAGCGATCAGAGCTCAATTTTTGAATTATACATTTATTGAACGGCTTAACATTATAAAAATGTTATCTATACATGTTGCACTAGATTCAGCAATACGTGTTGGCTCCAAAAATAAATTAAAGAAACCATGAGATTTAAACAATGATCTAAATTTAATATTGGTGGAGGAAGCTTCTAGGAGATTGATATTAAAGTCTCCACATATTACAACAGATTTATTCTGTTTATTAAGCTTAGCGAAAACTTCCTCCATAATTTTTTCGAAAGTATCATATAAAGAACATGGGGGTCTGTAAACGCTTACAACAATGAGGTGCTCAAACTCAACACATGCCATTTCTACAGTTCGCTCAACAGAGAGGCTCACAATATCTTTACGTTCTTTACATGATAATAATTTACTAGCTAAAATTAAGGAGCCACCTCTTAAAGCCGTTTCTCTATTGAAAGAACTGACCACCTGGTGATTACTGATGTTAAACATTAAATTATGAGCTTTTAACCAATGTTCAGTAATACATATAATATGAATATTGTTGCTATTTAAGAACAATTCAATTTCTAGTTCTTTGCCTATCATGCCTTGTATATTCTGATGAACTAGGTGTAAACAATTTTTGTTATCATTTTGTGAAGTTATACAATTGCAACTATTCAGGATTTGTAAGCTACATTCTAAATTATTTAAATTATTATAACTGCTAGAGATTACCTCTATTGTCTCATTTTCTAATTTAAATTACTTGGAACGGATTCCAAACTACATGTCAAATCATTATGCTGCTCAATAGGAGCAGATGTCTGGGTAGCCAAGTCCTTGGCTGAGTTAATATATAAATAATAAGATAGCACATTTGCTATCTGTCTTAAATTATATTTGGATAGGTAATACCTATCTGTAGTCAATAATTTCTTAATTAAATTATTAATGTCTATTAAATTAATTCTATTGGTATAATTGTTACAATTAAATGTCAAATTTAAATTATTGTTACATGATAAATTATTCATTAATAAATTTAAATCATATCACATTTTATTCTCCTGTGGCCAACCCTGTATGTAAGGCAATGTAAACAAGATTAATTTGTGTACATTTAAGGTATTGAGGTAATCAATATATTTTAATAATTGATTTTTATTTACATTGCCTCTTCTCCCAACAAGAATTATTAATGTGCTATTAGGACAATACTTACTAGTTAAAACTTTATTCATTATATGACTAAAGGATGCTCCAGGCATACAATAATTACTAATCAGTTGTCCTTTTAAATTGTTATTTAACATCATGCCCAAATGTTTTCCTATGTCATCACAATACATAATAACTTTATGTTTTTTATTATTTAAACTACTTTTTAAGTTTTTATTCTTTGTTATGGCACCGTCATAGAGTGTTGGTGAACTAAGACAGTTACTATTTACACATATTGTCCCCGATGAACATGGTATGGAGCGTTGATTCTCACTCTGATGTTTTATTAAGGAGTCAAAGCGCTCCTCATTGTATTTACATGACTTTACCAGATAATTCATGGCCAATATGTGTTCTTTAATCTCAACCTGAGCCGATGCATATTTATTGGAGATAATTTGTAAGGAGTTTTTAAGCGACAAAACTTCTGAATTGAGGCACTCTATTTCAGTCTCATAACAGTTTTTCATATTTTCCACCTCAATTGAATATAATTTAAGTTTATTAATTAAAACATGCTTTTCCTTACATATATTTATATAATTTTTTGTGTTAATTTTAGTTTTAATTAACACTATATCTTCGTCGGTAAGTTAGTGCCCCTAATATTACAGGCAACATGTTACCACTGACTGTTAATACCATTCCTATCTTATGTAGAGAGCTATATCTTCGTCGGTAAGACAGTGCCCCAGATATTTCGAGCTTTTCACTCTATTAACGTTCACGCCATTTAGGGTAATGTTAGTTATATTATCTGGACATTTCCCGAAGGCCCTAAAGATCGTCTTTTTTATATTATACGAGTATATACATGTGGTTTTTACATATAAGCGAAATACTATTGACTGACTGACTCATCACGAGATCTCTAAAACTATACATCCGATTGACTTGAAATTTAATATAGTTAATCATTTCGGAATGTAGACGCTCACTGAGACCGGATTTTAGGATAGTCCCATAGAAAAATCTTGATATTTGACATCTAGGTTTGGCAATAAAATGTTATCATGCGCACAGCGGATCGAGCTGGTACGGCTATGGTATATAATAATCATTAATCACCGATGTAATCCACAAATATAAAAATGACCCAGTTGACAATAAATGAAGAGCAACATTAAAAATAACATAACATAACATAAACACTCACGCCTGTCACCCAGAGGGGTAGGCAGAGACTACAGACTTCCATTTAGCACGATCCTGACATACCTCTCTCGCCTCTCCCACATCCATATACCTACGCATACATGCACGTCGGTTAAGGGTACTCTTAATTTGGCCCATTTTTAGTATATCGCCAATTTGGTCGATAAACTTTCGCCTAGGACGTCCCTTTCCGACTCTTCCATTCACTTCTGCAACATATATTTGCTTTGTCAGTCTTTCCTCATTCATTTTTTCTACATGACCAAACCACCGAAGCATTCCTTTCTTAATCCTGGTCACCGCATCATCTTGCAAACCACACTCTTCTTTTATCACACAGTTTCTCACCCTGTCACTCAGATTCAGCCCTAACATACTCCTTAGCGACCGCATTTCTACTGCATTTATTCTACTCTCGTGCTTCTTCTGCCACACCCAACTTTCACTACCATACGTTAAAGTAGGGACTAATACAGCATTGTGAATTGCCATACGTGCCTTTTTTGACGCATTCTGACTTTTCACAATAGAGTGTAGACAACATTAAAATGTGTGTTTTATAAATTTGATTAGTTTCTACCAATTCATAAAATGTTGATAAACTTTTACAAAATACAAATAGCGCAAGTCCCAGTTGACGTCTACAACACATCATATTTGTGACGTCACCTCATCTGACTACTCGTATTGAGTTGAGCTAGTTGATATGAGCATAATGGCTTTATTTGCAACCCTCAACTTATTGAACCTATCTTTAGAGTCTTGTTTTCGGTGATATCACATCGATGTCTAAAATATATAGCATATATTTCGGTAGGTATATCTAATTTTTAAATTTAATTTAAAATATCTATGTCGATGCAGTTGAATTTGACCCTTAAACTTAGTAATTGTACAAATAGGTAAATCTTGTGTAACTAATTCCAGAAATGCTTCTAAAACATTTTAAGGTTGATATTTTATGTAGTCTAGTAGTAACAGTAGTTAGGTAATTATAATATGTAATTAGTGCCTAAAATCAAGAAAATAACGAAATAAATGGCATTGTTTCGCTCAGCTCTGATAAATCATACTCTATGAATATTGAATTCCATCCTTTTTATTTAAATACTAGATCTGCCCCGGCTTCGCACGGGTGATATCTGGATTCTACAACAGCGCCAACTAGCGGGTCCAACTATGCCGGTAACCTTTGCGGAAGTGCAAGCAATATGTTGACAAAGTTTTACCGTGATCAGATGAACGGTATGCAGGCGCATAAAATACGAACAAACAAATATAATTTTTTATATTAAGTATATTAGATTGATTATTGTTCCATTTTAAAAAGACCATTTAAAAGGAAATCGGCGAAGGCATTATTATTAACAGATATGTTGAATACTAACTACATTTAATAATTCTTATAACATATGTGTTCCATATGTTTACAGACAGAAATAATAAAGTGGTAAGTAACTTGTACATAACGACCGGTGTCTAGTCCGTGTAGCTTGTAAGGTTTCGCTCTTGTAATAAATTTAGACAGAGTATATGCATTTAGGTATGAATATTTACATAATAAATAAATTAATATTGGAACATAATCGAACAAAAATACAAAAAGTTTATTTGAAGTTGAACTCACACGAGTGCAGCAGTGTCACTGTCGCAACCATTTTCAACAGCTCGCGAGGTCTGGCGGCGATCCTTGCGACGCGGTGAACTGCATTCCACTCGTTCCATCTCCAGGCGAAGCCTTTCGTTTTGATTATCGGTGCTCATTGCTAGCAGCTGGTCAATAGTCGCGTCTACTGCTCCCTGATTAGAGCGCAGTACCGCTTCTATTACGTCGTCATCCATATCAGGGAACATCGTTTTAAAATCAGTCATCGCCTGTGTAAATTCGAGTTGCATAGTTGATGACATCGTCCCCGCTTTGTATTTCGCACGATTTAATAAGAATGTCACGACTGCAGCTCCAAAGCCGGCACAGCTGATTTCTGACGCAGTTTTATCACAATGTCGAGAACGGTCACCGCGGCGTAGGCATCGCCCATCCTCGCGGTGCACTTTACGCCGCCGTGTCCGAGTCGAGCCTCACTAACTAATACTAATTAACGCTCTAATAACTAAATGCCCTGAAACAACGTCTGACTACACCATGATGTGCAATTTTCTTTTTCGACGTTTCAGATGCATTGCGCGTGTGCAGACTGCGGGGTACGAGGGGTGTTGTCGATATAAATAGAGAGCGCGCACAAATCGCCACAGCGCAGCGCACTACACGGCCCCTATTCAACCGATATTCCATGATGAGGCACGCGCGCATGTCCGTTGCATTGTTTGTAAATTAACTGCATCGCTTTAACCTTTCAAAGACATCGTTGTATCGCATTCGAATCAATTCAACGTTTCCGATTTACCGACGACGTCTTCTAATAAAGATATCTATATAATGTAAAATGTAATAGGTAACAAACAAAACAACAATAAAAAAACAGAAAACAAATAAAAAATTTAACAAACTTTGAATAATAAATATTTTTTCAACTCTTCGAAATGTTATAATTGTTTTAATATATATATATATATATATATATATATATATATATATATATATATATATATATATATATATATATGTAACATAATTAACGCACTTTAAGAAAGTAGTTTGTTCAGAATCATTTACTGAATCGATTCCTATCATTTTTAATATAGGTAATTTTTTATCCCAAAAATAATAAAAACTATGTAAATTACAGTCACACTAAATTTGTACAGTCAAAACAAACTGAAATGGACCGTAATTTAAGGCAATAAGACTTTTAAGAGTGCAGTTTTAATTGTATTATTACTAATTCTGTCATTCAATAAAAATATAGAAAAATGAACTTTATTTTAAGTACATTAAAGTCTTTGGGTTCGTGGATTTGTACTGTGACCACAACATTCTTCCGGAATTAGTATAACTAATTTGATAAATAATCAGTGCATAAAAATGTTTAACTAAAAATTCAGTGTATGTATTATGATTATAACATAATATACTAATTGGGGTGTCTGAGGGTGTGCGTTAATTACGTTATATATTGTATATATATCTAATATAAAATATATATTCTTTGATTGCAAACAATGAGATTAAATTTACAACAGAATCTTCATCAAAATCAGAATCAACTCCCGTAATTTTTATACGTGCCATTTTCTGCTTTCAGGGTGCAATGAAATGGTTGAGGCTTATTCTCACTTCATATTTATCTGGTTGGTCAGCAGACTCATTATTTTTATATATTTACTCACACCAACCCATTACATAGAAAGGATCACGATGAAAGAAAAATAAAAATGATCCAAGTCGGCTGAGCGCCGCGGCGTTGGTGAGATTACGGCCTCGGCACTTGTTCTTTTTTTTTATAGAAGAAGGGGCAAACGAGCATGCGGCTCACCTGATGTTAAGTGATTACCGCCGCCCATGATCAACCGCAACACCAGGGGAATTGCAGGTGCGTTGCCGGCCCTTTAGAAAGGAGTAAGCTCTTTTCTTGAAGTTTCCTCAAAACTTGCTCAAAACATGCTGACATATGGATTTAAGACGTGTTCTTTACTGCTGACCGGACGCTCAACAAGTTATGGAGATGGCTATGCTCTGGGTTTATCTGCGTAATGGAATCCGTAATGAAGACATCCGCTGTGGAAGCGTTTCCAAGTGGCAGATCCGTACCGGTAACTGAAATGTCCCATGGCCCCCATTATATGGAGTGGGGAAAGACATGAAGGAAGTCGATGGATGCAGGTGTTTCAGGACTCTTATGACATTCTTAGGAAAAGACCTATGTTCAGCAGTAGACTTGTGGAGAGATGTAATGATGATGTAGATGCTGGTGATAATTATAATAAGAAAAAAGCCTTTACCTTTGCCGATTGACGGACGAAGTTTCGTCGATCTGCTGATGGAGTAAATTCGTCTAAAAACGGTTAAATCAAATTGGTGGTGATCCGGTCTGAAGGGTATAGAGAGCTAAAACAATTACAGACCGTGAGGCATTCCATATTAGTCCTCAGATGAGAGATGTTTTTGTTTGTAATTGGGCTACTTTGTTTGAGATTGGCAGCGGGTGTTCACGGACTGCAATTACCACTTATCGTTATGAGACTGTAAGTTTAGTTAAATTAAAAAAAAAATATTGCGAAAGGACCGGATACTCCGAACCCCTCGACAGAAAAGGAGTTAACATCTAGTAAAAATAAAATGTTTTTCATTCATAAAAATAATAATTACATTCAGTGGCGAAGCTACGGCTCCAAACTAGGGCAAGCCCAAGGATATAGTTTTGTTGTTTTCAGCAGTTTCATAAAAATACACCAATCTTGATCTATCTCCACTCTCATATTCAGTTCTGTCCAGGACGTTTTTAACAAAGCACACAGAAGGCATACTACTGCTAGGTAGATTGTTTGACACATCAGCAATTGCATATGTGGTGGCTTTGACAAAAAGCCGTTTGTATTTGCATGAGCGAAAGAAAAAGATATTTACATACAATACAATACATGAACAAAAGAAACGCATGAAACAATGTACAAAATTAAAAAAAAAACTAATCATTTATATTCTAAATCGAATCGTATCTCTTTCTTAAAGAAAGATTTGATTACGTCCGCGTAAAATATTGGTGAACGTTTTAATTGTACCAATAACTGTTTTTCAATCGCGATAATTGATAAGTCTGAAAGACGCTCTTGACCTTGTGTATTTCTCGAATACGTATGGATGCACTTCAGAGATGAGTAAGCACGTTCCGAGGAGGAACTTGTGGGTGGAATAGTTACGACAAGATAAGCTAACTTTAAAATCTGGGGAAAGGCCTCTTCAACATCATTTTCGTTTATGAAGTCAATGAGTTCAAAAATATTGCGGTCTTTTAATTCGGGGGAGGAATACAATGAAATCAATTGGTTTTTCAATGTTTGTTTATCAAAATGGTATGCGTAATTTTCAAATAATGAATCTAATGCCTCTAAAGGAAAATCTGAACGATATTTTTCGAATAGTTTGTTGTTGACAATTGGAAAAAATTTAATTTAAAAATTTCAGAATATCGGCCATTAATTTCTGAATATATGTTATCAATTATTTCAACAAAAAGTCGTTTGTATTCTGTCTGAGCACAGCCGCAAATAGCGTCTCAATCGAGGAGCAGAGTTATTTTGCAATGTGTTTTCATAAATGTGATCATAATCTGACTGAAAATCAGTACGTAACCATGTCTGAAACTCCTTTAATTTATTACTACCATAACCGACATCAACTAGTGACTTTCTTAAAATATTGTACAAGCAGTCGGTTTTTTCAAATACCCGGTGGAAAATTGAATTTAAATGAACGCAATCTGTTTTCAAAATTCTCGGCGGCCAAGATCGTATCGTCGTCCCAGTTCTGTGGATTGTCGCACATATCCGAATTATTCTGAAAAGCTACACCTTTGAACTTAAAGTTACGAAGTGACAATTTTTAATTAACTTACAATAAACTATGAAATAACATAAGTTATTTCTAATTAGTATTTATTTGCTGTTCAGAATTCACTCTTGATCAATAAAAGATTCAAACAACTATGTGTTTTATTTTTAAAACTATATTAGATTGAATTTTGGTAACGGCGGCCAGGGGAATAGCCATCTGCGCAGTACAGGATTATATAGCCCAAGTGTATGCGCAAGCATAGGTCTGCTATTGAGAATTTTGTGACAGAAAAACCCAATAACGGGTGCGTTTGGCAAAAAAAGCGCTAGCAAGCGCTTATAAGCGCTAAAAGTTTTCGGCAGATTAACTACACTCCGCCATAAGTAAAAAGTGTGCGAATAAAATACATACATAAAACATATACATGTTATAAAAATTCATGATTGGTAAGTTTTTAATATGAATACTTTACAAACATATATTTAAATTAGGTTATTCCCCCTAACTGTGTCCTAGGAAAATACTACTTACGATTTGACAGGTTACTACATCTTTTGCTACAAGCGCTTGCTAGCGCTTTTTTCTGCCAAACGCACCCAACGATTCTTGGCCCGACACAGATTTCGAACTAGGGACCACATGATCAGCAATTACGCTTATACGACCATTAGACCTAGAAGGCAGTTAAAAGTGTTAAAACTATAATAAATTTAAAGGCAGAGCGGGACCTCTGAGGAAAAAATAAATGATCACTTTATTCATGCTTTTGGTATGAATAAAGTGACCATTTATTTTGCCTGGCTGTTCGCTTCATACTAATTGCTATTTATACAATCGTAGTTATATTTTGTTATAGAACATTTTGCCACAGGTTAGAAAAGGAGCGATCGTCTTCTCGAAAGCCCGATAAAAGACCACGCGTGCGAGAGAGACGACTAATCGCTCAATTCAACTCCTTTTATATGTATGACAGCAGTATCACAAAGGCTACGAGGTCATGGCCTGCGTAGAACAAAGGAGTGCGCGGGAAATTTGAAATAGTTTGAAACAGTTCAAGAGTTATTTTATAAGTTGATATTATTGATTGATTAGTTTAAAAAGGCAAGCCTGGCTTCTATCGAGGCTTCGCCACTGATTACATTTACCGTGTAGTGGCGGTGTAAGAATATTCACTATCCCATATGATCCCGTGGGTGTGTCGTAAGGAAATAAATCAGATGGGCAGCAGCTAATAACGACTAAAAATGAAAAACTAAGTTGCCAACTCGCATGCCAAGCGTGGCATCTATGGCAATATCCCCCCCCCCAAATTCCTCCTTCCGTGAGGCAATATATGGGGGAGGCCTATTTTCGGAGGCGCAGTAGACTTTAATAGGCTGTAATAGTAACGGTCAGGTACCATTTATAAAGAGAGAAGGGA